CATAAGATTTGATCATAGTTGCTGTATCTGGACTTGATTCATGTGTTTGGCTTTAGTTGGACTAGAGCAAGTAGAAGTCATACCCTGAGTAATAATTTTATCATCTGTAAAGAGTTCAGCATTCCAAAATTTTGGAAGATTAAAATAAAGAAAAAATTTAAAGTTTTACTATCAGGAGAATGAGTTGTTAACTTGGAAATCCAGTTGGCCTGTAATTTTCTTGTCTTTTATATTTTCTGATATTGACAGTGACATAAACTTGTGTACATTTGGTTTCTGTCTGTTTCTTATACCTTTTACCTTCACATTTCAAGGCTACTTGTTTCAATGAAAGTGTTTTTGTGTGTAGTTTAATTGTCCTTACCCACTCCCAATGGCGATGCCCCATTGACATTAAACATTGTTTCAAAATGCATACATATGTGTACATATATTTTTAAACAATGTTTTATACATATATACATGTTATATTTGTATGTTTTGATTTATTACACACACCCAGTAAGTAGATGCCAATTAAAAGATTAACACCACAATTTCCTTCAGTCTCTATAAACTTTAAAAATTCAAATTTTTTATAAATACAGCTTTTTTTGTTTTTGTGCAGTAAACAGGATTGAATGTTCTCTACATAGAACATTTCAGAAATAGAAAATATTCATCTACATTAATTGTGATGACAGTATATTAGGTCCTAGATACAATTCAACATTTTAATTCAATTAATATTTTTTGAAATTGCATGTGAAGTGATGTGTGAGACTTTGATCAGGTGGCGTTCTGTGTATTAAGTTGAAAAGTGAAAAACAGATCATGAATTGATGAAGACAAAATGCTTTCAATAGGTTTGAGATTCATAAATGTGAGTTTGTGTACTATTTCAGATGAAGTCATCCTTTGCAATTATAACAGTAGTGATTTGGGATGAAAATGGTTCATTCAAAAATTGCAATGTAAAGTTAATCTTTTTAGTAACAATGTATAAAATGAGAACAAAACAAATAGAAACAAATAACATTAATTTTAAAATGTTCTAACAATATGTTTATCATAACTGAAATACTATTTCATTTAATTCTCAATATTGTAATATATGTTTCTTAAAGTGAGAATAAGTATTGACTTTTTAACTTATTTTGTCAAGAAATGATAGTACATTTTCTGTTCACTGGATGTTTGGCTTACGTAAATCCTATTTTTAGGTAAACCATACTTTATTATTAAGTAAATAACTATTTTAAAATATTTTAAGAGCTAACAGTAGAAACTTGACTTAAGTTACTAAGAGTTTTTCCCCTTTTTTCCCCCAAGATTTATTTTTTGATGTATACAAGAACTGTGGTCTAGGCCAGAGGTTTGGGGTGAGAGGATTCTCTAGAGACAGAGTGGAGAGCAGAACAGGAGGATCTACTGAACTACACTGCTGAGGGGGAGCAGCAGGTGAGATAGGAGAGATCTACTGTGCCTTGTGGGCTAGCTAGCTCCCTGGCTGGGGATCAAACCCATGCTGCAGTGGCTGGTGATAGCATGATAGCCCTGAGATTTTTAACACCAGTGCCACAAAGGAGGCACTTTTTTTTCATACTTTTTCTACAAGAGGAAGAAAAAATAATATTGACAAGGAATGATATGGCTTCTGTAATGCCTGAGAATTTTCAAAATTGGTAAGATTTTTGAATTTTTTAGTTTAATAGCCTTACAAATCCCTCTTACTGCAGAAGTAAAAATAGATTTGTAAAACTTAAGTTTTTCAGAATGCCGTACAATATTTTGGATTTGGCTTGATTCCCAGGAACCAAATCTTAGAAGTTAAGTTAGTTACCCATAACTTAAGTGTCATTATAGCTAAAAATAATTAAAAATATAAAGCTTATTTTTTCTTTTAAAAGAAGAATATTCCATTCATTATCCCTCTTTATTTTTGTAACCAGTTTGCTCACCTCAGCTCTAGAAAACTGAATAATAGAGTTGCTGAAGGATAAGCAACTAAAATTCTGCTAACGTCAGTGCCTATTACTAAAGAATTTTGGATGTAAAAACATAGACAAAAAAGGGATAATTATGGAGACAATACTTAAACTTCTCTGTTTTGTGGTGAAATTTCCTTGGTACTTATTTTGACCATCTGGTGGTAAGAATTGAGAATGAGAAAACTTAATCCTAATCTCAGTCCTGGAACTGATTCATTTTATTACCAAGTAGAAAAATCATAAAATAAACCTCTCTGTCCTTCATTTTCCTCACCTATAAAATAATAATTGAATCTTGAAAGCAAAATGTGTGTATACTTAAGTTTTGGAAGACGTAACTCACAGTTCCATGGGATGCAGCCTGAGATACCTAAACTAGTGATGGCTAAGGTTGCAGCTTCAGTTTCCTTTTCTGTCAAACTAGGATATTACTGCCTAAATCAGGTTTTTCAAAATTTAAAATTGCACATGTATAATAATAGATTATAATATACAATAATAAATGCAGTTTTAAAATAATATCTGTATACAAAATATGTAACCATTAAGCTATTTTCATATACCAGTTAGGAGATAATTTGCTCATCAGTGCCAATAGAACAGTCTTGATAAGTGTTCTGTAGGGCTCTTACCTGTAGTATCTTGACTCAGAGATAACTATCATTCATCTCCTGTTACCTCCTTAAAATGCCAGCTTTTTTTTCCCTGTGCTAACCATCTCCGAAGTGTTTACCTTTTAATCTACCTCTGATAAGTAAGTTCATTGATTACTTTTCTCCCAACCTACTCTTTTCTGCTTTTTGAAACTTAGTACCTTGTATTCCTTCTCCTTACTAGATAGTCTTTACACCTGTGAAATCATTGAATCCTTGATCCCACATTCCCATCTAAGACATATACACATACACCTGTATCCTAGTCACTATTTGACAGTGCTCTCCTTTATAAATAGTTCATTGTTTTCCATAACTTCTCTGTTTCAGATCTTGAGGTCTTTCCCCCTTCTCTGATTGTGATAGATAGCAGAACTAGAATAACATTAATAATTTGGTATAATGGACACACATGCCTTGTGTTAATTATTATCTTGCTAAAATAATGGTTTGCATTAAATAGACGTTTATATAAAGTGTGTACAGTCATTCATGAATATGAGTTATCACAGATTGTAGGAAAGCATCTCCATATTATGAACTAAAAGATTATCGTTCACTGTAAGACAGCATCAATTGTAAGGTGCATTCCTATTGCATAAATGTTGAAATATGAAAACAGATTTTACATAGGATCAATGAGCTTGCCATGTACATTACTGTTTTCAGTGTTAATAATTTTGCTAAATTTTCTATGCTCTTTGATAGTAACTTTTTTCACTTTCATGGTTTCAGTGAGCAACATCTAAATTACTCTTTGCTTCATTGCAGATACTGTATAAACTAACGGGTTTTTATTTGTGCAGTTCTTTCCATATGTTTTATACCATTATAATTATATAACATGAGCATCTCTATTCTTTATTCCCACCATGGTACAAAAACGTAGAGTCATTTGAATGCTTGAGGTGAAAAACATTTTTCGTTTCTATACTTAGCTATATAAGAAAGTTTCTCAACTCTCCTCCTCCCCCACACATAGAATTACATATTAGTTCTACTCATACTGCTAATGTCATGTTAGTATGCATCATGATGTAGTTAAGAGCCCACTGATTTAAACTGTCAGTTTGCCTAGTACAGTTTTCCCCCCTCATCTGATACACTTTTGAAACTGGGATTTACTTTGCCTTAGCTTTTGTTTTCTTTCCAGACCTAAGTAACAAAACACCCTTAATGCTTTTTCAGTTTACTATCCCTCATATTCATCCCCCCTGCTCTTCTCCCAATTGCTTCATTTACTCACCACTTCTAGAGGACTGACTTACAAATCTTGTTTACTCTGTGAAGAATACTTAGATTGAGGTGGAGTTGAATAGAAATCCAAAATTGAGTGTATGTTAGAAATTAATGTACCATAAAAATCTCAGTTGGGAGAAAAGTCACTGTACATCATTCTGTATATACTTAATGATTACAACTCAAGGTGGCCATCTGGTTAGTTAAAATCTGGCTTGTCTTCTTGGGAGTGTGGGGCATACATTTAAGCAATCGGAGAAAAGAGGAATTATGAAAACTGATCATACTATCATTTTAAACATTTTAAGGAACGCAACACTATACATGATGAAAAAGTAGTAATAGTATAATTTTGGGGGTAAATACTATAGTTTTTAACTTAGTAAAATACTCAGCAAATATGATTTGACTATTCCCTACTTGTAAATAATACTGAAACTTAATTTAACTGGTTGAGTGCATATTTGAATATTTTATGCCTTCTTACTGTATGGTTTTATATAGAAAAAAGGAGGAGGTGGTATTCGTTCCTGCACCTGTATGAAATTTGGTCATTAGGCACAGTTATTTTGTTTGTTTTAGTAGGGAGTAGTTCCATAGCTTGTTAAAAATCAGCATAATGTCAAAGAGGTTTAATAATCCCAAAGAAAGCTACTTTTGTAACATTCTGGGTGAACATTGTTTCCCTTGTATTTGCCTCTTGTGATTGTAAATCATGAAGACCCCAAAGTATTGTGAGCCTCAAACAAAGAAATTTCATCTTGAGTAGCTAGCCTTGGAAGTAGCAGAATAGTTCAAGTGGCGTATTTAAGACAATAGTAACAATGCTCATAGACTACCAGGGAATCCACTTTTAGGAAATAATGACCATCAATAAAGATGGTATTGTTTTTATATAAAAAAAAAAAGAACTTAGAAAGTTGTGGATACACATATATTGAAAAAAATGGAAACATTCCTCTTCTTGAACTTAAGTAATTTCATGGTTGTGATTTAAACTACCTTTTTAGAGAGAAAATAATACTGTGGAAGTAACAAATGTTACCTTGTATTTATTTATGTGTACGGAGGTGTGTATATAGCATTTTTCATGCTCATGTGAGTAATGAAAATACTTGATTTTTTTTTTTAATTATAGTGCATGCAAGATATGGGAAATACTAAAGCAAGACTACTCTATGAAGCCAATCTTCCAGAGAACTTTCGAAGACCACAAACAGATCAGTATCCTTTAAAATTTCTTTATTGTGGTTTTTAAAAGCATTAACTCATTTTTACAGTTCATATTTTATCTTTTAGTATTTAGGAAGATGTAAACTTCAGCATATTATTGTTCATTAAATGAGAACTTTATTTGCCCTGTGTTATGCTTTATGAAAAGTAAGTTTCTGGTAAGAATCTGATAATAATACACAATATTTTTACATAATTTATTCCTAAGTATAAAAGATAATGACTTTTCTTGATTAATCATCAACTTTTGAGTGGAGATTATATGTTTATTTATATATATATTTTTTTAAACACATCTTTTTTTAAAGATTTATTTGTGCTTAAAGAACTGGGGTACAAGCCAGAGGTTCAGGTGTGGCGAGAGGCTTCACCAGAGACAGAGTGGGGAGCAGAACAGGCAGATCTACGAAGTACACTGCTGAGGGGAGCAGCGGGCCGGTCAGGAGAGGTCTGCCGCGCCATGTGGTCACCTCTGGGGCAGGCGGAATTGAACTCATGCGGAAGTGGCTTTAGCTTCTTAGTGCTGTGCTTTAACCCCCTGTGCCACCAGGGCCTATTATATATTTTTTAAAGATTAAATTTATGCATATAAGAACTGGGAGGGAAGGCCAGACATGTGGGGGAGAAGTCCAAGGAAATAAAACCTGTTGGGAGGCCCCTATATGGTTATTATTTTAGACTCTTAGAAATTTGAGTTGTGAGCATATTGAATACTTTAAAAACCCCTTTCCAAAGGTATTTTCTTTCATTACTTGTAAATAGTAATTATATTTACAGTGGAATAACTTGTTACGTGTGCATTTTAAAAACAAACTATATTTACTGTAAGAGGAAGTACTGAAGTAATTTATATTTACTACTAACATTCGTTTTTGTCATGGATTGCATAACACTGTTCATATATCTGCTGTAATGAATGGAGTATTTTTTCACAGGTAATTTAGTGAGAATGTTTTACATTTTGTTGAAGATTGATTCTGTAAGATTTCTCAAACTCATGGAGTGGTTTGTTGATGTGTTACTAATATTTAAGGTTATTGATAGTTGCTTTGTGATTTTATCCAAACATGACATTTGTGATTTTGACATTAAATGTAGCTTCTTAAAGATCAGTTGTATATTATTCTTTGTATACTTAAAAAAAAAAAGTGTATATAGCCTGGCAGTGAAAAAAGAAATGGTGATCTTTTCGATCTTTTCTTATACAGAGATACAGGCTACTGTACATATTTTAGCTTTTGTATAGAAAACTTATAAATTATAATAAAAAAATTAAATTGGCTTTTCTGGTTCTATTCCCCTAGCCACTTCACTGCAAATTTTGCAACCTGATATCCAAGCCTATTAAATCAAGAATCTAGGGTAAAAGTAGGAAGTACATTTCAGATGTAAAAAATTGTGAGCTAAAATATGAAGGAATGAGGAAGCAGAACATTTTAAGATATGAGTGTGACATGATCCAAGTGTCAGAAGAAGCTGTTTTTCCCTCCTCCCCCCCCCCCCCCGATTGTGAAGGATTTTTAATATCTTAGGATTTAGACCTCCTCACCCAAAGATTTGAAAGGATTGAAATGCATAACTGATTTTGAAGCTGGAGAAACATTGTTAGAATATTAAAATCTATGATAAAGAAGATTAGTAGGAGGTGATTTTGGAGCCAGAGAACCATGTAGAATACTTAGTACATACCTGAAATGAGCAGCGGTGAAGACAAAATATCCAGAATGGATAGGAAGGAATTGGGAAGGTTGTAAAGAAGTTGAGAATGCAGGAGCCGTTGGGTTAGGTTAAGATTGATTTTGTTTCTGAAAAAGACAGAGATCACTCCAAAGTGTCTAGGTTGAGTGAGGATCTATGTATGAGGTAAAGCTTATTATTCATTGAGAAGGAACTCCAGATGGATGTTTAAAGTTTAGAAATGAAGACCAGTGAGTCATTATTTGTCACTGATGAAGTTGAGATGTCTTTTGGACATATATGAAGCTACTCATTTAGTAGTATCTTCTGGATTCTAGAAGAATGCACAAAATGAAATGCACATTGGAGGATCATTTAACATGTAGGTGATAAAAAAAATGCTGTGTGAATTTGTTTATCCAAAACAGTGATCCCTTTTTTTTTATTTTAATTTTTTTAGTTTTAATGAGAATCTTGGGAATGCTGCTTTTAATTTCCTTGGAATATTACAGAATAAATTACATGAAGTTCATGAAATTTGGGGTAGTACATTTTATGTGTCATACCTTGTATATAAAAGAAGTAGCCAAGCTATTTAATCCATTATCATGATTCTGTGTTGTTTTTATATTCAGGGAAGGATAACATATAGTCTAATAGCCTTCTGTGCACTACTTTGTAAATGTTGTAAGGGATGCTAATCTTAAAAAATTACCATCAATTTTATGATGAACTTTATAAAAGTACAAATTTTCTGAGGTAGTTATTATTAGATAGCCCTATATTTTCGCTGTTATGTTTTTAATATTTCATCCTTATCCAAATTTTACACAAGGTAATATTTTTTAATACTGAATTGATTAGTGTCTGGTATGAGGAAGTCCTTGACTTTTGACAGTGAAATTTTAATGTGAGAAACAACAGCTGCAATTGTTTTACTGCTCAGTCAGGGTTTGTTGTATGTCAGATACTGAACTTAGCATTTCATATACATTATCTTAAGTTTTTATTTCATGGCGAAGAGAAGAGCTGTTAAGAAATTTCTCAAAAGTTTCCAGACTTTTCCTCTTTAGTGAAGGCACTTGAACATTGTTAATGAAGGTAGTCTGCATAAAATCAGTGTTTTAACTTTAGAATGTTGATCAATTTTTTATTTTTTTTAAAGATTTATTGTTAGCTATGATACAAGAACTGGGGTGCAGGCAAGAGGTGCAGGAGTAAGGGGATTGACCAGAGACAGTGGGGAGCATAACAGGTGGATTGATTGAAATGTACTGCTGAGGGTAGCAGTGGAGAGACAGGAAAGGTCTGCTGTGCCATATGGGTCAGCTCCCTGGCTGGACATTGAACTTAAAGCTGAAGTGTATGGCTCTAGCTTAATAGTGCTGAGACTCAACCCTTGAGCCACCAAGGAGGCCCCTCTTGATAGATTTTTTTTTTTAAGATTTATTTTATTCATACAGAATTGGGGTATTGGCCAGAGATGCGGAGGGTGAGAGAATTCACCAGGGACAGAGTAGGGAGCAGAACAGGCAGATCAACAGGGAGCAGCGGGCGGGTCAGGAGAGGTCTGCCACGCCCTGTGGATCACCTCCGGGGCAGGCGGGGATCTAACTCATGTGGAAGTGGCTTGAGCTACTTAGTGCAGTGCTTTAACCCGCAGCACCACCAGGGAGGGCCTCTTGATAGATTTTAAAACTGAAAAGTTTATAGTTAGGTGCTTTGCAACTTAAGACCATAAGGTCTATGTGAAGATAACAGTTTTTGAGTATTTTTGGCATGATTCATGTCTGGCTTTTGGATTGTGTAGTTTTACTATTGCTAGTTAAAGCATGTTTATTTCATTTTGACATTAAATGTTACATCTAAAACATTTATAAATGATAGTTATATGAGGTGTTGCTCTTATTCAGAAAAGATAACCTGTTGGTTGTTAGAAACTACTTAAAGAGGGATTTGGTCTAAACAACTTTGAGCTGGACTACTAAAGCTCAGGAGTATAAGATGACATCTCATGGACTAAGCTCAGCCAACACTTCTATCTAATACTAAATAGCATACAAAAAATTGATCTCAGTTACCATAGTAACTTTAAATAATGAGACATTGTGATAAGCAATTTTTACATTGACTGATAAGAAAATTGGTCTCCTTAATCATGAAGAAAGCTCAGTGCTCTTTTAAAAATTTAACATTTCTCTGGTTTTGTTGATTTAAATATAGTTGCCTTGTCTTTAGAGGCAAATGGTACCAAATTGAGTGAAACTCACATAACATGGACCTCACTGCATTCTTAACAAATTTGTCATTTTTTAAAGGCTTTACAATGTATAAAAGCTTTGCAAAAGCTTATGTGAAAGTGCAGTTTCTCATGTGGGATGTGGTTAATTACAGGCTGCATGTACTAGTGAATGACAAATGATAAGGCTTTACATTAAACTTTTCATTATTAGAATATTTCAGCTTATCTAAAAACTTTAATTACTAAAGTTCCATGAAGTCTATTAATGCACTAGAGCTAATCAGCAGCTCTCCTTTGAGCTTTTCAAAGTTTTATTCCTTGTCATTGATATGTCTGGAACTGGAAGATTTTGTTCCAGGGAGTACATATTAATTTACTGGCTTTTAAAATGATTTATTTAAAGAGAAAAACTCTTAAAATACAAATATTTGTTAAAAGATAAAACACATAGTGATGTTAAAAATTTTCTGTACCTGTCTAGTACCATTTGTTAGTTTTAAGGATGGGGATAATAAAGGATGCTGTAATGGAATGTTTGTGACTCTAAGCAAAGAAAAGATTATGGCTGTTTTGTTGCTGTGTATTTACAATCCTAATCAATCACTTAAATTTGAATTGTGATTTTGTTTTCTATTCCTTCTATTGATTCCCTGAAAATAATTTTGTTCTTTTTCTAACTTTTTTAGTATGTTACTGATCTATATTACTATAACTAAGTCTTTATATCTCAAATGACAGATGAAGATTGGAAAAAAAAGATAAAAATATCCTGAGTTGCACATACATTCATTCTTTTGCTGTTTCTCATTTGTTTATCTGTTTAAACTGGAAAAACTATAAGCATATTAGCCCTTAAAATTTAGGATCCATTTCCTCACTCTTCTGACCTTGTATTTAAAAAGATTTGTCTATCAAAATCTGTTTTGCATATACTCGCTCATTTAATTTTACAGTAATTCTGTGAGATGAGAGAGTTATCCCCATTTTAAGGGTAAAGAAATGAAGATAATAAAGTTATATGAAATAAAATGCTAACTTCATTTATTGAATACTTACTGCTTACTAGATACCATGCCAAAGAACTTTGTTATTCCCAAGACTCAATAACTTTGTGAAATATTATATGTGTATATGTTTAGGAATGGGTTCAGTATGATTATCTAATTCCAAGGTCACAGTGACTGCCAGTTAAATAACAAGTGCTTAGAAGTGAGACTGTACATTGAACTTTTATTTTTGATTATCTGAATGAAAGAATTTAAGTTTCCTAAAGGACAGGATACTACTAACGTCATTGACTGGCAAAATGAAGCAGGGAAGTACAGTATTTAACGTTACAATTTTTTTTTACTTAATGATACCAGTATTAGATCTTGGCGGGTGTCCTGGAATATGCACAGTGGCGTGGCACCGGATTAACTATTTTGCAATTGCAGATGTGGAGCTTTGGAGTGTGAATGTCTCCTTGCCAAGATGGCTTTGGGAAAAGAATCAAAACAATCATTGTATTTCCTCGTATATGTGCATATCCCTGTTTATGAATATGCTTAAAATTTTTAACATCACACGGTCACAGGATCACAAGCCATATTGAGCAGTTCTTTAACATAGCAGAATGACGATAGTAGATCCAACTTGCGGGGAGATGGTCCATAAAAGTAACTTAAGATGTGTACAAATATCTTCAAATAATTATTCATCTCTTCAAAACGTACATCAGGTCTGCTAGTCTGATAATTCTTATTTTATAATATTTAAGATCAGACTAAGTCTTACTGCAATTGAAAATTGTGATGATGGCCAATGTAAATGGGAATTGTAGGTCACACAACTTTTATTTAACTGTCAGCCCCACACCAATGGATAAGGAATCTCAACATCAATGTTTTCATTATGGAGAGTGAGCTGTATTAACTAGTGAATATCAATAATACCAAACATGGCATTATTGTCATTAGTAAGTACTTCTGTAGTCAGTTTATCAGTAAAATGTGGCTCCATAAAAGAAACTCAATTTTTTTTTTATGTAATAGATGCTGAAAGCATTTACTGTAGCAAACCCACAAACTATACTTTGTGTGGTTCACTGTGACTACTATTTCGCCACATACTGTTGTTGTTAACCACATAAGTAATAAAGCAACAGATTGAGTATATTTATCTAATGGTGACTCTTAACACATTGAACCTTTTTATTTGAAAATTAGCACTGTATCACACTATAGTGAGGTGCTTTATTTCTGTAGTCAGAGATCAAATCTGGCCTCTTTTTTTTTTAACTGAGGTTTTTTTTTTTTTAAAGTCATTTTTTTTTTTAAAGATTTGTTTTATTTGTACATACAGAACTGGGGTACAGGCCAGAGGCTCAGGGGGGTGAGAGGCTTCACCAGAGGCAGAGTGGGGAGCAGAACAGGCAGATCTATGAAGTACACTGCTGAGGGGAGCAGCGGGCAGGGCAGGAGAGGTCTGCCACGCCATGTGGTCACCTCCGGGGCAGGCAGATCGAACTCGTGGGGAAGTGGCTTAAGCCTCTTAGTGGTGTGCTTTAACCTGCTGAGCCACCAGGGAGGGCCCCAAATATGGCCTCATTTTAAAAAAATTGCTCACTATTTACATGCTTTTTGAGAGTTTCTAATCATAAACTGAAACCAGACTCAAATTTACCTATATTCGAACTCCTTATTTAAATTATGTTAATTATAAAGTAAGATTTCACTGAGATTTGTTACTTCTGAAAAGTCATTGGAATGTATTATTTCAGCAGATTGTGTGTTGTTTACTCAAAAGAGTGTATACTTAAAATGTTTGCCTTTTTCAAATTCAGTATAAATAAAACTGTCATAGTTTTCTGTAGTGTAGCTTTAGTATTCATGGTTAACATTTTCTGTGCAGTACTTTTTTTTTTTTAAAAGATGTATTTATTTATGCAGACAGAACCAGGGTACAGGCCAGAAGTGCAGGGATGGTGAGAGGATTCACCAGAGACAGAGTGGGGAGCAGAACAGGCATATCTACGAAGTATACTGCTGAGGGGAGCAGAGGGCAGGTCAGGAGAGGTCTGCTGCGACATGTGGGTCACCTCTGGCATGGGAGCAAACTCATGCTGAAGTGGCTTTAGCTTCTCAGTGCTGTGCTTTAACCTGCTGCGCCACCAGGGAGGGCCCAGGTCCAGTACTTTTGACCTTTATAAGTTTTTTATCAGTGATTTTTGGGTCTGAACCTAGTGATCTTTGTCATAGAAATGTCGTAATTGAGAATAGCGAAATCATTTCAAACATTAATGGAAGTACACCTTAGAAAATATCTAAAATAGACTGTTATAAAGAAAATATCCTTCGCCTAGGTAATGAAACATGAAATTATTCTTTAATAATTTAATTTCTAAAAATTTTCTTTACATAAAATAATTACATGTATATTATGTTATACAATATATGTCAGTAATATACTTACTGTTTTAAAAATACATGATTGACATTAGTTTCAGTATTTTTTCTCTCTTTTGGAGGTAAGTTGCCTCTACAATGAAAATTGTCTAGCTATCCACGGTGAGGATGTTCTCCCAGTTTGACATTATTCTCTTACTTTTTTTTAAAGATTTATTTATTTATGCATACAGAAATGGGCTACAAGCTAGAGGTGCAGGGGCTGTGAGAGGATTTACCAGAGATAGAATGGGAAGCAGATTAGGCAGATCACCAAACTACTCTGCTGAGGGGAGCAGAGGGCGGGTCAGGAGAGGTCTGCCACACCATGTGGGTCACCTCCGGGGTGGGGGATCGAACTTGCACTGAAGCTGTGCAGCTAGCTTGCACTGCTGCTTCCTTACCCATTGCACCATATTCTCCTAATTTTAAAGGATTCATTATTAGCAGAAATTAGTGTAAACGAATGATACGCTAATGAACTTGTGATTACTATAGCATTCTGGAAAGGGAGCTGTAACATATTCCTGATTTTACATCACAGTTCTTGTTTGTACTGTAGAATTACAGAGAACTTAATAAATTTGTGTACCCCAGTTTTAATTGTGCAGTGGCTCTTATCTTAGAGATTATTAAGACTAGAAAAGGAGATAATCTAAAGTGACTTTTACATATTCAGGTTGTAGACATTAGTCTTCAAAAACAACTTTCAGTCAGTTCGCTTACTTAGTTAAGTTGAATGTTCAGTTTTCTTGTGCCTCTCTTCATGGAATTCATGCTTTTCCTTAAGTTACTTGTTTTCAGAGCAGTGGAATTTTTCATCAGAGATAAATATGAAAAGAAGAAATACTATGATAAAAATGCTATAGCAATTACAAATGTAAGTAACATCTTCATCTCTAATCAGTAGATAATTGAATATATCTCAAGCTTCTAACATGTAATGCACCTCAATTTATTATAAAAACTGTACTAGTTGAATGTGTTTAAAACTACGAATATTGTATTTTTTTTGTTATATAATGCTAATGGGATCTCAGAATGCAGAACTATTGATTTGGAAAAGAGCATATTCTGAATGCAAATACTAATTCAAAGGGTTATATGAACTCCTGTGTTGATCGTAGCACTACTTATATTAGCTAAGTTATGGAAACAATCTAAGTGCTTGATTACAGATGAGTAGATTAGGAAGATGTGGTATTTATGCACAGTGGATTACTACACAAGAAAAAGAGTTGAAATCTTGCCATTTGTGACACATGAATGAACTATGGGGAATTTATGCTAAGCAAAATAAGTCAAAGGGAGAATGACAAATACTCGATGATTTCACTCATAGATAGAACATAAATAAAAAGAGCAGGCAAAGCTAAGTCAATGAACTATAGAAATTGCAGAACCAAGTCTACCACAGTGGAGGTAGGAAGTTGGTAAAAAATGAGGAGGGTCCCTAGTGGCCTATGTATGGTAAAAGGACTGTGGTTGCTTTGATGGATTAGGTAAGATACATCTGGTGAGGTGTGAACCTATTCCTCAAAATCCCACACAGTGTTGTAAAGCAAATGTTACAAGCACAAAAAAATAAAATTATGGATTTTAAAAAAGTAAAAAATATGTGAGTTAATAGTAAAATAGGAAAGCATATTTTAAAAATAATAAATTCTCAAATGACATTTAATTTTATGAAATTTGCAAAAAGATGAAGCCACTAATTAAAAGAGGGATGAGAGAAATTTTACTAGATTCTCAAAATGTATGAAAAAGAAAAGAAGGCAAATTTATCTTCTAGGGGTTTTGGTGGTCTGTCCAGAAATATGTTTGTTAAAGCACAATTGGGTAACCATTTTAATTGGTCATTTGCACATATTTTAATACATTATAATTAGAACCTTACTGTAGTGATCACAGATATTTTATATCTGTTACCCCCCACCCCAGTTTGCCGTTCCAGTTAATTGCAATTTAAATCTAACTATCTATTGTTGTGATCGTATTTTTAGCCTTTGCTTGCTAGATCAGTAAGCAAGTTATCAGACTTTTTTTAAAGCTATCTTTGAAACATTTTAGGGACAATTTCTCATTTAGTACACAAACTGGATATTTCTTTTTAGTTTATATGGAGAACCATATTACAACAATATTTAATTAAATACTAACAGAGTAAGTATTTTCATATTTGTCTTTGAATATGATAAAATCTTATTAAAATGTTTATAAAGTGTCAATGCATATTAGAATAAAAATATGTTGAGTTTGGACTGTTTACATTGGATGTAGGAGAGGTAATCCTATGATAAAAATTGACAGTGTTGAGAATAATATGTATGTTATCTATAAAATTAAGTTGTAGTATTCTGGGGAAAAAGTTAACTTTAAAACAAAATATTTTCGTGTGAGATTTCAGATAATTTTAATGTTTTATAAAATATGGTTTTACACTAATTTTTTTAAATCTCCTAAATGTTTGTTGCTTTTTTATTTTATATGTATTTATACAGATTTTTTTTTCCTCTGAGGAACAATTAATAAACTTATTTTTGTATAGGTTTGTTTGGGAAAACAGCTTTTTCTTTGATAGCAACTGTTATGTAGTTTTTCCCCCTTTCAAATGTGTTAATGGTGCTGTGCTTAGTAGTGTTTCTTCATCCTTAAGAGATACGTAGTGGAATAAGTGTTCAGTGGTCAGGTCATGTCTGCAACTCATTTGTATTTTCAGTCAAATTTTATTATTTTGTCATTCACTACAAAGCAGTATCATTTTGGGAGTAAAAAAAACCTCATACTTCAAGTGTGAATGCTTCATTTACCTTTCACCAATGCTCCAATGCCAAATGTTATTATATACCCTTAGTACCCACTTCTGCCCCTTTCGCCCAGACTTCACAAAGTCTAGAAATTTTTGTTTTTTTGTTGCTTTATTTTTGTTATATTCTAAAATTGAGTGAAACTGCCCACTAATTGTCTTTCATTTTCTGGTTATTTCACTTAGCATCCTCAGCTCAAGACCTGTACATACTGTCACAAAAGGCACTATTTAATCTTTTCTATTAGCTGAGTATGAGTAGTATTCCTTTAAGTATATATATCATGATTTCCTTGTCTAGTCACTTGTTGATGGGCATTTGGGTTGATTCATGTCTTGGCTATTTTTAATCATACTGCTGTGAACATAGGGAATACAGAAATCCTTTCATGGTAGTGTTTTCTTATTCTTTGGATAGGTATCAGAAAGGGTAGTGCTATATGGTATATGGTGTTTCCATTTTTAGTTTTTAGTTTTATTTTTTTAAGGAATTTTTATACCATTTTCCCATCGATGCTGTATCATTTTATTGTATTTCCACAGCAGTAAATGACTGTTGGTCCTCCCACTCTTAAACTTGGTGTTTTCAATCTTTCTGATACAGACCATTCTCACAAACATGGCGTATCTCACTATCGTTTTGATTTGTATTTCTCTTACAATAAGTGCTATATTGACCATTTTTCATGTGCCTGTAGATATCTATATGTCTTGTTTGGGAAGTGTCAGTTTAGGTTTTTTGGTCCATTTGTTGATTGAGCTGTTTGTTGTTTAGTTGCTATATCTCATTTTTAAATAGCTCAGTAGATAATGATAGCTTAGTATGCAGGGGGAGAGAACATGTGATGAATATTAGTATAATTTTTAAAAGATTATTTATGTATACAGACCTGGAGTATAAGCCAGAGGTGTGTGTAGGGTAAGAGGATTTACCAGAGACAGAGTGGGGAGCAGAACAGGCAGGTCTAATGAAATACACTTCTGAAGGGAACAACAGACAGTTCAGGAGAGGTCTGCCATGCCATGTGGGTCACCTCCCTGGCCAGTGATTGAACTCGTGCTACAGTGGCTTTGATAGTTTCATAGTGCTGTGCTGTAACATGTTACACCACCAGGGAGGGCCCTGAATATTAGTATAATTTGAAGAGGTATTCATTCTGTGACTTTTTATATTATTGTAAGCTTTACAGTAAAGTTTCCAAGGTAAAAGATTGAATACTTGAGTTTATATCACTAATGAAAATTTAGGAAAGTTTATAACAATCTCATTTAACCCAAGGTAAAATTTATAAGCAAAATAATGATTTCTTAAAAGCTTAGATTCTATCAAATTTAAAATATTTCTTCCTCTTTCATAGAAGTCAAATGCAAGTAATTACATTAATTAATAGGATTACATTATTTAGGATTGTGATATATTTTTATTTTATATAGTGATTTTTCTTTAGTAAGGAATTAACCTTTTGAATAATAATCTTTGATCTTTTATTGTGGTCATAGTCTCCTAGGATAGTAAAACAAAAAGAGATGACTTTTCCTTTCAGAGAGATTTAATTTCATAGTGATAACCAGGTTTTAAAATACATGTTTGTATCTAGAAGCTAGAAGGCATATATATATACACATACATGTATAGATATATATGTGTGTATCTATATATAGATACATACATACATACACACACATGCTTCTTTCTAAGGGATTTAATATGTGCTAGGGCACTTAACAGGTATTTAAGGAAGGTCATTGTAAATACTAGCTGTATTCTGATAAAAATAAAGTGATGCCTTGAGTGGCTGTGACTCTGAAGCTTGATTTGTGTATTTCCTCTATATTAAATAGCACCAAATTGCTTTGCCTCTATAGTTTGTCTCTTTTTATAGTTTATCCCATACTCTTGTTTTTAGCTACCAGTATTAATTTTTCTTACTGTTATCTTATTTCTAACAAAAGTAAATACCTTAAGTGAACCTTGTTTTTCTAAGGTAGTAATTTATTAATCCTTTTAAAACAAAAAAGTGATAGATTTCTTAACCTTTTTGAAGCAGACATTTCAAAGCATTTGTGGCTAAACACGAAATAATAAATTACAACAAAATAGTGGCAGAGAGTTTTGTTAGTTCCTAAAATACTGCACCACTCCCTATTAATCCACTTAATTATGTGCTTATGAACTAAGGCCCAAGAAATCCATAATGAAGAATGTGAGCGGGTCTTGGCAGTGCTGCTTCATTCTGTGGATTCATTTATAATCATGAAGACTGGTGTCAGCAAGATGGTATCTGGCCATGTAAATATAGTACTTTGAGAAAAACGAAGGGTCCTATAAATTGCTTTTATGAGGGAATATGTGGTATAGACCATATGCTTTTAAAGATCTTTTTTGTACTGACCTGTCATTAGTTTGTAACACTATGTAAGACTTAAAATTATAACATCACCTTCTTCAGGTGTCTGTTATCACTCCACACCTACCATCAAGCACCTGTAGTCCTCTACCATAGTCCATTCTGCCATCTCCCTGCATTACCCTCCCCTTCTTCTTCTGGTAGCCTGTTCTACAGTCAGATTTCTAGCATTTGTTACTAGTTTGGTTTTATCGGTTTTTTTTTTTCTCCTTTCCGCGTATAAAAGACACCATCATTTGTCAGTATGTTTCTTTTGATTTGTTTAGCGCAGTTCCTTTCTTGTTGCAAATGACAAGTTGCCTTTTCTTTCCTTTTAAAACTGAGTTAATATTCCATTGTGAGTATATACACCACATCTTCCTAATCCACTTATCTGTCTTTGGGTGCTTGTCTTGTTTCCATAGCTTGGCTATTGTAAATAAACAGTGCTGTGGTGAACATAGAAGTCCCTATATTGATTTAAATTGGTGTTTTTGCATTCTTTGGGTAGAAACCTGGGAACTAAATTGCTGGGTCATATGGTAGGATCAATTTATAGTATTTTGGGAAAACTCCACAATGTTTTTATAAGGGCTGGACCAGTTTACTTTCCCTCTAACAGTGTACAAGGATTCTCCATATCCTCCCCAGCAATTGTTTGTGAAGAATATATGGTTTTGAGTGGTT